ATTCCAGCTTTCTATGGGTCGCCGGAGCAAGACATTTTTGGGCTGGGAAAGCTTTGCGCACTAACACTTTATATACTATTCAATAGCTAAGAACACGAGAAATCTACGCAGGCCGTCTCTTTTTCATAGCTTTTCTGTGAAGCGAGATACGAGCAGTTTTATATAGTTACAATATCAGCTAATTCTCGGTAATTATCTATAAAAAAAGGTCTTTCTCGCATTCTCTCTAGTGAAAGGAATGGTACGATTATTGTCAGCAAACATGCATCCATCACGAGCTAGTCCAAATTTTCTACTTTTATTTAACTCTTTCCTGAGTCAGTGTGTATTCATTGATACAATGTTGATTATTCAAAGAATTAGACATCCTTCTGTTTGATTATGTTTTGTTAACAACGCCACTTTGAATGCGCAGAAGGTCTCAAGCATGCGTTTTTTCAACAAAACGCTGTTAATTCGATACTGGCAGCCTTGATGTTTAAGAACAAAAGCAGCTGGCGTTTCCTTTCCAAACAAAAAGTGTCATTGTAACAGCTGTTTGATTCTGCCTTTATGCCTCAATTGTAGTCTCAACCTCAGGTGAAAGGGGTCAGCCAGATGCCGACCCTAAAGCGAAGGGGGTCAGAGAAATTTCTCCACCTATCCATTTCTGATCATGACCATCTCACTTGAGGTGCCAATGTTTGGAAACCTCAAAATTCGCTGAAACTTGGCCCACAAAGTTACTTGACACGGTGATCATGAAAATAATGCCATTGAGCTCTTAGAATTCTTCTTTTATTATGCTTAGGAACGTCCAAACAGCACAATTTTCCCGCTGTTGCAAAGAATCATTACTCAACAATATAGCGCTTAGATCGTCTCTGTTTGCCTGTCCGTGTGTGTATATATCTGTCTGTCACGAAATTCAAAGAGCGGATCGCAGCAAACATCAGAGCCAGAATTTTGCACAACGCACATCACCAGCATGTAGGTTTATTATGCAAAAGCAGAGCGGATTCGCTGCGTGAAACCTTTGGAAATTGCGCATCAAGGATCCTGCGAGTTTTGGCGCGCAAAACCAGGGCCGTATATGGACTTTTCACAAGATCAAGAATATGTTCAACATGTACGTCTATAAGCCATTGAAAAAGCCCGAAAAAGTGACTAAAAATCTATTACTTTACGAATACAGTGCCAGAAGGAATTGGCTGTGTAAATGTTCAATTTACCAAGATTTCATTGATCATTTGTGAAGATTTTTGCACGTAGATGTATCTTACGATGATTATTGTCATTAAGACGACTACCAAGCTATGAAGAGTCCAAAAACCGATTTAGATTTGCATTCGTTTTTTTCCAGATAATGTTGGAGTATTGCGTGTTTTGAAGTCATTGTACGCTTTTCTGAGAACAATGGAATTAAAAATTTTATTACGTTTACGAAGCAGTTGCAATATGAAGAAAAGTTTGAGGCCCTTCACAGGATTGTTCATTACCTGATAGGGCGTGGTAGCACACCGAACATTCTTCTGAAAAATTCTATCTTAACAAGAAAGCTGTATCTCAGTCGAACAGAACAGAATTTGGAGTAATGTGTTTTTACTTGTTGTATGTCATTGTATACGAGAATCTATCTTAAAATTGAGATTATCGAACGTTTCGCCTCATTAGACATGCAAGAATATATGATTTAGTCCAATTCACATATCACACCTAAGGCGAGATAGCTAGCAATAATACGCTTCAGTTCATATAGGGTTTCAGAGCAAACGAGTTTATGTAGCAGAGTTTTGCTTATGCATATCAACGTCGTAAGGCATACGTAAGTTCTTCAATATTTTCTTTTATGAATAATTTCAAAAAATGAGAGAAACTGCAAGGAAATTACTTTCTTCGAGAAAACTGACATATCGAAAAGTTTTTGAAGAAATTAGACAGCAATAGTATCTGAACAAAATATCTGCAAAAGTAAAGGGGAATTTTGCTTAATTATGAGAGTACGGCGTATTGCGGAAACGGAAACTGCCGAAAACTTTTAAGAGAAATGAATTGGCTGATGGAGTTTTTTCTTTTGATCAAGTTTATTAAGAGAAAATCAAGATTTTCAACAGAGGAGGGTTTCCTTCCAGCAAACAAAATCTGCAAAATAGCTGCAAGCACAAATAACGTATTCATACCCATTCCGCTCAGCTTGTAATACGCCTCCCATATCGTTGCTGATCCCCACAGGAATTGAGCTATTTACAACATGCTACACATTTTTAAAAACCTGACATGAGACATTTGAAGCATGGCCCGGCACGAGGTTGTCAAATGACAAGCAGGAAATCGTTTTCGGCAAAAAAAAAACAAAGGGAAATTCGTTTTTGCGGGGTCCGGGGAGGAGCCCCGGAAAAAAATTGGTAGTGCACGTTCTCTGCTTATTTTTCTTTACATGTAATGTGCCTCGACAGGCGAACATTGAAGTTCGCGCGCGTCAAACCGCGCAGTCGCTCATTGCCCCACGCGCGACATCGCTCAACCGTGCGTTTTGTAACAGTATACATAACAAGTTCTCAATGTATGCGTAACCATATGGCATCAAATTTTGTAAGCGAACGGAGAGAGGTTAGTGAAACAAAGTATGAAAAGTTATGGAAAAGTTAGGTGAACGGAACGAGTAATAAGCATTTTTCCGAAAATTTTCAGAATTTGTAATGAAGATGTGAATTCAAATGGCTCGTTTGCAACGCGCAGATGACGATATGGTATGAAACTTGGTACGTATGTGGACACAACCCTTTGAGAGTTAACTTAGGAGTTTCATTGAAAAATTAAGTGACTAAAGGTTTCGGCAAGCTTTTTTCTGAAGATTTCCCATTACCATGAAAATAAAAAAATGGCTTGTTTGCAGCGCAGAGAAAACGAGTCTGCGCGAGACTTGGTGTGTATATGCGCAGTAGGACCAAGTAACAAAGTATGAAAAATTATGAAAAACTTATGTGAATGAAGACCGTTTCCAACTTTTTTCCAAATCAGGTTGTCATTTGACAACCTAATGAGGTTGTCAGAACTTTCAATTCACATAATTTTTTCAAAATTTTCACGTAAATCTACTCTACACCTAAATGTTAGTATATATTGAAATTTTGGTTTCAAACTTCCTCCTTTTCTCATTGCTAGAACCAAAGATAGCCTCAGCACCCCGTTTTCTAAGGAGGGAAGCGAGCTCCAATCGATAAGGCGTGACTGGAACTGGATTATAGAGTGCAGAAGGCACCTTTTTTCCTACCGTAGCCAAAATTAGTCGTAAAGCTGATGTTGACTGCAGAAACATCCGAACTTACGCCAATAAATGTGCGCTGCGGTACGGGTAATGCATTGCATTATTATTTAGTCAGAGTAGGGGGACTTTTTCGACTAAATCAGTTATACTCCGCGTATTAATGTTGTCCCACTTTATCTTGCCCGTCTTTCAGAGGGAAAAAGTTAGCTGCTTGCGATGACTGCCGACGCAGACGTTTTTCTGACTTGTGAACACTAAGTACCTATCGAGATCAGAAGGCTTCATAAAGCTATAGAAAGGGAAAGCTAGCGCCCACGGAAATTTTCTGGAATTGGCTGCTGCGAGGAGGTGCAATCGATAGACTTCTGGCCCTTTTATAGGCAATGATGCTTAGCTCGATTTCATTCTCCACTTCTATGTGTCATTTTTTAGTTATACACAGGTCTTTGTCTTTATTTTCAAATATGCTACTAACATGAAATATGAGTGAGCTTGGCTCTCTTTCCGTCGACACTTCGACATCGTTTGAGTTATTTAGAACCCGTGGCTCTTAACAAAGTGATAAAATAGAGTTTACAACAAATCCGGACAATATCGAAGGACGATATCCACACACAAAATCAAAGATTTGACAAGCCAAGTACAAGAAGTTCAGGTTTACCAATTATGTGCACTCATCATAGCGTATAGGAACAGCGCACAGAACTAGGTACTCATACAAATTCTTTAAAGTCGGTGATAAGTCCAGTCTCTTTTTTTTTCTCACAATAGACGACTTTGACTTGACTTTTCAGATGTACTACTTTGCACCAAACCTAGTAAGGAACATCCAAGCGGAAGTGCTAAGAGTTGCGCTGTACCTAGTGCCACTCTTGTCGTTTTCGGGTCTCAAATCATATCATTGGCTCCTAGATTCATGTGGAGGCGGGTTGCGGACTTTCGACTGAATAAAGTTGAACTTCTTAAACCTGAACGTTGCAGCATTGTTTTTCAAACTCTCTCAAGTTCATCCTTTTAATCAGCGAAAGTCCGCAACCACCTCTACACAACTGAAGCCGATCATACCTGAATATTTCTCCGTTGGCTAGGAGATTAGGAGTAAATGAAAACTTTGAAGAAGAGTAAAGAAGAGTATCATCATGTTGTAAGAAGATAGTATGAGATCATAGACGGCAGCATTGCGTAATAAAAAACAAATTTCAATTCAAAAAAGATGGAACGTGGGCTCAACATTTTTTGAGCTTGTTCGAGAAAGAAAAGCATGCAATAAAGATTCAAAAAATGAAATCTGCGATTACTGACACAAATAGTCCAGCTGGTCTTGAAGCACACTATGCATTGCACATAAAATTGCTGTACAATATGGAAGTGTCGATCTGCTCACATACACTACATGATCTTTTCAAATCATCTTGCACCAGGACTGGCGAGTGATGCGAAAACAATGTCGTGAAATGTTTATTTGAAGCTCCTGGCACTTATACTACTATTTTATCACCTCATTACAAGATTTTGGAGCGATTACATGCCTCAAATACTACCGCGAACATTGATAGCGTGAAGCTGCATGTTTCTGCAGTCAACATTAGTTTTACCGGCTAATTTTGGCTACGGTAGGAGAAAAGGGCCTTCTGCACTTCATAATCCAATATCAATTCGACGTTAGATGGTCTGATTTTGTTGTGGACGTCCTAAATGCGCAACTGTCAGAGCAAAAGTGTTACGAGTTAAATGACTTGAATGATAATGTGAACCTGCCTTAATTCCAACTTCTCGTCCGTACATCTCTACAAGCTAGGCCAAGCTCTTTCATACGCGATAATGCATGTTCTCGAAGATTGCTGAGTTCCACTCCACTTGACCCTATAAACCACAGGTCTTAAATTACGGCGAACGATCCTGTAATCTCACCAGTGGCATTGGGATATCTCGCTCCACTCCGATCCAAGGTGGAATTATGGAAAGAATTCGAGCCACAAGATCTACCAAAACTGATGGAGGATAATTCTAGAATGGTAGTATTGCGAACAGTAGTGACAAAAAGTTAAAAAAAACAGAAGAAGGCAGAATAACAGCGAAAAACGCCGATAATAGGACCCACGAATTGATACGACGAGACTATGCTACGAATGGTGGACGGGAAACATTTTTGTTATATGAAGACCCCGACCAGGTACTTTTGATATCGCGCATTTATCTTCACTCTAACATTGAATGTGCTTCTTGCTTTCCATGTTTTAATAGCTGCTTTCGTGATTTCCAAATCGTCTTCTGCTATGGCACGGGCCATTGGCTTTGTTTTTTCCTATCTGCTTTCATGTTTGGCACTTGGACATCCATCTAATCTTTTTGTGGTTTTTCGTCTGTGGAGATGCACGTTTTACATGTTCTTTTTAGGACATTCTCGGACTGTTGCGTGAGGAAGATCTTAGACAAGGCTCATCGTCCGAAGCTAAAGGTACGCTAACCTATTAGATTCTTCCGATTCGCGACGTAAGAATAGCATGAATTTGAAGTGGCGGACATCAGTTATTCGTGAACTCCATGTCTACGGTTCTGTTGTGTCGGTTTCTGACAGAGATCATCGAAATTTCAACATCAGGTCCGCCTTTGTGCATTCGCAGCTTTTGCTTACTTGTGAAGGTTTGATCATTTCCAGGGCTTTGGCCAGTTACTCATGGAAGAGGCAGCTACAATAGCTTTCTACGAATGTGGCGTTGGAACTGTAGGATATTACAGGTGTTATAAAAACATTAACTTCATTCCCGTTGTACTCCTAATAATTCGACGTTTTCAGGAAACTCGAGTACGAATTGGATGGACCATAGACCAAATCACTAAGCGTTGAGGATTTTGAGTCCGACTGATGAGGGATAATGGTGATATTCTGTATTCTGTTGCACATTCTGCAGTGAACTTGCGATATCGAGATTTATACGGGGAACTGTGACTTCGAGGTCGGTTCGTGCTGTCAAGTTTTGTAGAATAGACGAAGTCGTGCGAGAAGTATAAACAAGATTGTCGAAGAGCTTCATCTCTCGCTGCTGAATTGATAACGAACTGTGATTACTGCGGTATGTGTTAGCGTGTTACATACGCAGTTTGTGTCTGGGGTAACTTCAACCTGACTGCATGCCGTTTTAATATTGCGTTGTACTGAGATGTGCAAGTGTGTAGGATCTTAGTTGTTGATTTTTCTCGGAACTAGATTGTTGTTGCTGTTGGGGTGAAAGTTCTATAAATATTATCTGCATACTAAGGGTTTACAATGATTGGAAGTGGTAAATGCACGCCATACCTGTGAGTTCATGAGGAGCAAAGCTTATTTGAAAGGAGTCATTTAAAGTTGGAAGGCATCAAAAGATTTCGTTCTGCCTCCGAGAACGAACTTGTTCGGCTTCCAATAACATGCGTATTTTTGCGATGTCACAGTCATACAGTTCCCGTATAATAAAATTTGACTTTAATCTTGGTCAGCTTACAATCAATCAGGCGAAAAATGACAAAAAATGTTTGGGGATCTCATCTTTCGAGTGTCTTCTCGTTGCAAGATGAGGACTTGAGAAATGAAAAGCACACCATCTATCTGTGATGCTTTCAAAGTAATTAAAGGAAGTTTTTTTGACGAGTAGGAACATGCTTGTTTTGAGGTTAATGCACCATACTCTCATCCAAGGATGACATCCTCTTACTAATTTTGTCAGTCTTTTACGAGGTCCTTTCTGCTTATTGCTAAATGGGAGCTTGAAAAAGCGAGAAGCATCCTTTCGTCCTTAGCATTTCTTTGCTCGTTCTTCATCACCACGGGCAAGGTCTTACTATCTTCAAAAAATATAAAATAATTCTTCTATTGCGATTGTTTAAATTATACATTGAAAGGAAAGACTGTTGAGTCTGGGTAGTCTCTGTACCACAGTCAAGTAGATTTTCCGCTTAATATAGCGTGCTTGCACTGTAGTTAAAATGGGGTGAAATCTGCGCATGAACAAATAGTACGCCGGTGACGCCGGTCAATTGCGCGTGCAGAATGCTGGCATTACTGGCGTGGCTAATTCTTTACGCGCAAATCTTACCGCAATTCACCTACAGTGCAAGCAGCTATATTAAGCGGAAAACCTACTCGACTGTAGACTTTATTGACTGCTGATTGAAAGGTTCAAAATATCCTTTGTTTGTACAGATCCAAATCTACATTGCAGCTGAATTGCTCTCTTACGATGAAAAAAGCTTGTACTGCAATACGATTGGCTATACTGACTTAAATGCAGTATACAACAAAAAAAGTTCGGGGATTTTTTCTATTGAATGAATCACTCAATTCTCACATCAGTGCATTCGTTAGAAAGTGGAGTCTGCCAACAATTTTTTTAGGTTGGTCAGCAGGACCGCATATAACGGAGTGTATGTAGGGCTTAGGTGCACTGCTTCCTAGACGAATGATAAGAGGTTCCATCAATCGGCGTGATTGATGGAACCTCTTATCATTCGTTTGTTTTGTTTTGTGATCCACTTTCTTGAACATTCTATTGTACAGTATGTTAGAGGCAGTGCGGGCAAAAAGTCAATTTTGTGCTCACAAGGGGCTATTCGCTATACTAAATCCGAAAATCAACCGTGGAGTGCGGTTGATTTTGGGGGAGGGGGAAGAGGGAATTGCAGGTTTGTGGGGCCGTTCACACTGTGACGTCACTTTCCCATCTTCAGCAGCGATCTTCTCGCTTCCGCTAGTAGCTCTAACATCGCCACCAGTCAACTGCAAAAGCCTGACATAAAATCGGAACGAGATCTCTCCTAAAGCTGGGAGAGTGACGTCGCAGCGTGAACAACCCCTCCCACCTGCAATCTTCTGCTTGCGTCAGAGCCCTTCATCACCATTTTCGCGCACTCCAGTGTTGATTTTCGGATTCAGCGAGCGAATAGGCCCGGGCAAGCACAAAATCCCAAGACTTTTTGCTCGATCTCTTGATCTTACAGTCTGCCCCAATCGGGATCAAGCCGAACTCTCGACTGAATTTGCGCGCTCGCAGCGCTAGGGGATTGCGCTGCATACGCGCGCTGTCGCAGAAAGTGAAGAGATCGAGGAGAGAGAGACTAGCTAGCCGCAGATGTAGCGCGAAACCCTCGCGGCGCGGACCCCGCCATGCCGATTTTGGCCTGGTTAGGGTTGGGGCAGACTGTATTTGTTTTCTCTTTGCTATTGTCATAAATAAATGTTTCGAAGTGTTTTCTTCAATAAAACTTGTTTTTCTGGGTAAAATATTTACTGCGCCATCACTGGGATCAATTTTTGGGTCAAAGGGGTATTGTAAAAAAATTTTGAGGTAAGGGGAATTCGTTTTTAAAAACTTCTTTTGACAACCTCGTGCCGGGCCCTGCGACAGTGTTGTCCTTATCTGACGTCCCAGAAGCAGCTCCTCGAACGTTGTCTTGAGGTCGTCGTACAAGGCATACAGTCTGCCCCAATCGGGATCAGGCCGAACCGTCGGGTGAATTTGCGCGCTCGCAGCGCTAGGGGATTGCGCTGCATACGCGCGCTGTCGCAGAGAGTGAAGAGATCGAGGAGAGAGCAGACTAGCCAGCCGCAGATGTAGCGCGAAACCCTCGCGGCGCGGACTCCCGCCATGCCGATTTTGGCCTGATTAGAATTGGGGCAGACTGTACGTCGATAAGACTGCAGAAACTCCGCAAACTTCTCTGTCGCTCCTCCCTCGTTGATTTTCTGGTCCTTTTGAAAATATCCACAAATCTCTCTGCTTGTCCATTTGATTGCAGATGGAATGAGGGTAAACGCATGCGGTGAATTTCTCGCTCTTCACAAAAATCTTGAAACTCCTTTGCTGTGAATTGTGTCCCGTTACCCGACACGATCACACGGATTTCCAAATCGAGCGAATAGCGACCTAAGTTCTTTTAGGCTGCGTTCATACTGATTCCCATGTTCTGGAACTGTTCCCGCACAGTTCTCGCACTGTGCTGAAACTGTGCGGGAACTGTGAGGGAACTGTGCGGGAACAGTTCCAGAACTGTGCTGCATGCGCTGCAGCCGCCCCGCACCGTTTTGAACGGCGGGAGTTGGAGAATTTTGACCGTTCTCAACGGTTTTTCTTCCAGATTTCGCTCATTTTGGCCTTAATCCTCCACCCCGCTTCCCTTTTTGATCAGCAGCACTGCGAACTCGAAGCGGGATTGAAGAATGAGCGCTTTTCTGCGCCGTGTATTCGGAAAGATGGGCTATCGTGCGATTGTTCATTCTGTCTTCTTGTTTTTTGCTCAAAACTACTTCATTTGTTCCAGGAAGCGGCTGCCCAGTTTCCATAGCCATCTGCCACAAATTAGGGAGTAGGAGAAATCCTGAAATTGCATGAGTTGGGACTTATCTCTTGTTTTTCATGATTTTGGGCGTTCTTAGCCTTGTTCGTTTTTCCATGTCGTTGCTTCTCCGTTCTTTCTTCTACCCCGCTTCTCCTAGTGATGAGAAAAGCTGTGAATTTGAAGCGGGGTTGAGGATTGAACGCTGTTCTGCTCCATGTATCCGGGAATATGGGCCTTCGTGCGCTCGTCCATTCTCTCATCGCTAATTTTGTTCAGACCTACTTCATGTGTTCTAGAGACTTGTCTATTTCAATTTTAATACGATGCGAGACTACGCAGCGACTTGTTAGTACACATGAATAGGTCTGAACAAAAATAGCGATGAGAGAATGAACGAGCGCACGAAGGCCCATATTCCCGGATACATCGAGCAGAACAGCGTTCAATCCTCAACCCCGCTTCAAATTCACAGCTTTTCTCATCACTAGGAGAAGCGGGGTAGAAGAAAGAACGGGGAAGCAACGACATGGAAAAACGAACAAGGCTAAGAACGCCCAAAATCATGAAAAACAAGAGACAAGTCTCAACTCATGCAATTTCAGGATTTCTCCTACTCCCTAATTTGTGGCAGATGGCTATGGAAACTGGGCAGCCGCTTCCTGGAACAAATGAAGTAGTTTTGAGCAAAAAACAAGAAGACAGAATGAACAATCGCACGATAGCCCATCTTTCCGAATACACGGCGCAGAAAAGCGCTCATTCTTCAACCCCGCTTCGAGTTCGCAGTGCTGCTGATCAAAAAGGGAAGCGCGGTGGAGGATTAAGGCCAAAATGAGCGAAATCTGGAAGAAAAACCGTTGAGAACGGTCAAAATTCTCCAACTCCCGCCGTTCAAAACGGTGCGGGGCGGCTGCAGCGCATGCAGCACAGTTCTGGAACTGTTCCCGCACAGTTCCCGCACAGTTCCCGCACAGTTTC